GCGAGAGTGGGTTTGCTTCTCTGTCTGCACAAGCATCTGTATCGCATCTGTGTGCATGTCTATGTTACAGATGAGTAGTGTGCTTTGTGATGTAACTGTGTCCCTGTGTGATGTTGTATGTTTCTTATGAGTAGCTGGGGCAGAGTGCAGCAGTGTAGCATGGTGATAAAGAGCAGGGCTTGTAACCGAAAGGTTGCTGGTTCAAATCCCAGCTGGAGCACTACTGCTTTACCCTTGGGCAAGGTACTTAACCCAGAATTGCCTCAGTAAATATCCAGCTGTATAAATGGATGAAATGAACCTATGTAAGTCGCTCTGGGGTAAGAGCATCTGCCAAATGATGATAATGTAATGTAATATGAGCGTGTTGTGTGATATGCCCGTGGGGTTGTGTCGTAGGTGCGGACCGTGTACATGGAGGGGGGGTTCTTTGAGGTGGGGATGAAGCTGGAGGCCATTGACCCTCTGAACCTGGGGAACATCTGTGTGGCCTCTGTGCGCAAGGTATCCCACACCCTACATGTCCCCCACACACGGCTCCTGCTCTGTATGATACAATGCGTGTATTGTACGCAAGCACATGCAGGACTTAATGAAGGATGCCGTAACTGCTGTTCTCGAATGTAGCACATGGTGTCACTTGACCAAAGGTCAGTCCGCTGAGCCAAAAATCCTGCACACATGCTTATTATTGATCTATAAAGACGTTATGCGATGGTAAATACAGTGTTATTCACGCCTCGCAAAGACTATATGAATGCCCACTTTGTTTCACAGTGTGGTCGAAATGGCTTAATTAGATTGCAGTTTTGTTGAATTTGGGTAAGCCGTAATGTGTACAGATGATTGAGATGTGCTCTCGGTCCCTCCCCCAGGTGCTGCTGGATGGGTACCTGATGGTTGGGATCGATGGAGTGGAGATCGGGGACGGCTCAGACTGGTTCTGCTACCACGCCTCCTCTCATGCCATTATGCCCACGGGGTACTGCCACAAGAACAAGATCCCCCTGACGCTGCCCCCTGGTACTGCCCCCTGCAGGCTCTCTCTCCATTATTTCATTAGCCATTAGCCATTCAGACCATTATTTCCGTAGCCCTTTAGTCACATGTAATATCTGTGTCCTGTCTAAGAGTCATAGCCGGTCCCTTTGACCCTGTTGCCTCTCTCTCATTCGCTCTCTTACACACATACACACACACACTATTTCAGTCTCCCTCTTAATCTGACCCTCTCTTTATTTCCTTTTTCTTTCAGTCTGACTCTCTCCTTCCTTCCTTCCTTCCTTCCTTCCTTTCTTTTTCTTTCTTCCTTCCTTCTTTCTTTCTTTCAAACTGCCTCTTTTTTCTTTCACTCCTCTCTATGTCTCTGACTGTTGCTGTCCACTGCAGTCAGTCAATGGAAACGTGTTCTCCCACTGGTGAACTGCACACTGCCGCTGCAGTCAGCGTGAACATGCGTATGAACCACAATGTATCTCTGTTTACCAGGGTACAGCCAGGCCACTTTCACCTGGGCCAAGTACCTGGAGGAAACTGGGGCCGTGGCTGCCCCAGCACGACTCTTCCAGACGGTGAGAGCAAACTGTCTCAACGTTTTTCAACGTTTTCTCAACATCTCTCTCTACATATACACATATATTTACGCACACTTACATTACATTATTACGTTCTTGTCATTTAGCAGATGCTGTTATTCAGAGAGACTTACATAGGTTGCGATTTCTACATGTTGTCCGTGTAAAAAAATTTACTAAGGCAGTTCTGGGTTTAGTACCTTTCCCGAGGGCAGCGCCCTGGCAGGGAGTTGAACCAGCAACCTTTCATTTACAAGCCCTGCTGCTTACCACTATGCTACACTGCCATCCCCGCTGTGTAGTAGATTGCAACAACAATTGCAACACTTCAAGCACAGAAGCGATGACACAGTGACATGTTGTATTAATGTGCCACAGCGAAGCTGTTTCCAGAGGTTCATAGACTGTTGCCAAAAGGGACAAAAAAGTCACCCGATTCCTCGCACAGGGAAAACGGGTGTAAACCTCCATGAGCGTGAGGTTGTGTCCCTTAAACGTTCGCTCACGGTGTCCGCTGTCCCCTCAGGACTGTCCGGGTCACGGGTTCACCCCCCGGATGAAGCTGGAGGCGGTGGACCTGATGGAGCCGCGCCTCATCTGTGTGGCCACTGTGAAGCGCTGCGTCGGCCGCCTGCTGCTCCTGCACTTTGACGGCTGGGAGCCCAAGTTCGACCAGTGGGTGGACTGCCAGTCCCCGGACATCTACCCCGTGGGGTGGTGTGAGATCACAGGGTACCAGCTGCAGCCCCCGATAGGTGACGGTAAGAACAAGCTGAACAGCATCAGTGCACTATTGAACGTGAGATGTATAGGCTAAACCAGTAGCAAGTGATGCCCTAATGTTGTTCAGCCATGAAGGTGGTGTCTAGTATACGTGTACTGTAAATGTGTATAAGTAGATCAGTGTAGGTAGATGAATATAAGTGACTGTATGCATGTATTCTCTCTATATGAATCCTGACTAAATCATTTCTTTACCCCCCCCCTCTTTATTTTCAGAACCTGCATCAGGAGATGAACAGCCAAGGAAGCACAAACCCCTGGGTAAAAAGAGTATGTCCCCACTTTTCCAAACCTGCACTGTTACCATTTCGTACCTGACTGTCATTCCTCTTACTCTGCCTCTCCTGTGCTGTGATTTCTTTTGCAACTCCTTCTCATGACTTCTCTGTCCTCTGCTTCCCTCTCTCTAATCATCCCTTTCTCCATCTGTTTCAGAGAAGAGACTGGTGAAGAAGAAGCTGGCTAATCTCATCGCCAAAAACCGGCCCCCGCCCCGAATCCGGCCCCCTGAGCCCCCTGCGCCCCCTGCGCCCCCTGCGCCCCCTGCGCCCCCTGCGCCCCCTGCACCCTCTGCACCTCCTGTGCTGCTGGAGCCCAAGAGTGAGCCCATCGAGGAAGAGAGTGAGTGAGCCCCATCGGGGTCCAGGCCTGGATGCTTATATGTACACAACAAGGCCACAGATAAGATTGCTTCAAAATGCAAACAGAACAGGAGGGTCCCCATGTGAATTCGCATGTCTGTTAAATGTACATGTAGCTGGATGTGTGTGTAACAGTGTGCAATGCCTCAGCGCCTGCTTCATGTTTGTGTGTGTGCGTGTGTGTTCCTGTGCTCCACAGTAATTGCGGTGAAGGTGAAGGAGGAGGAGGTGGAGGCGGAGGTGGATTCTGGGCCTCCTGCTCTGCCCGAGCTGCCAGTCAAGGAGCCGGAAGCCCCGCAGACGCTGCTGGAGCAGGTGAAGCAGGAGGAGACGGAGTGAATCCAGAGCTTGGGCGCACCGAGCTAGACTCACTGCCACGGATCCCCGGGGCTGGGGTTCACTCTGTTACACAAAGCCCTGGACCCCATTCCCCATGGAACACTGGAGTTTGGACCATTAGACAGCCCCATGGACCCCCTGTGGCACACTAGGGATCACACTATTATGCAGTCCTATGGATTTCAGCTGATAAATTCAGGCTGCTGCAGAGCTAAAGAGAGGACTAAGGATGCAAGCAAATGGCTTGAGATTATGGTCCAAAAGCGGATGATTTAAGTTCTGGAAATGCCTTCATACATCCTTAATTAACCGCAATTTCATGTTGCTGGTGTCATTGTATCAGTGCACAGTTTCAGTGAATCCTGCTTCATCAGAGTTTTGGACTAACCCTCCTTCAACTGTGTGAGTGGCCAGAAAGTACAGTGGGTTCAGTCACAGACCTTTAGCACAGAGTATACCTACTCTGCTCTGCCTTCATAAAACTTCATGCTTCTTAATTTCTGTAATCTGATCTAAGGTACAGGATTATATACCAAGTGTCATATTTGAATCAAATAGGAGTCAGAATCAATACAAAACAAACTGCTATGTAGTGCATTCTTAGTTGGTTCTGCACTACTGTCTCATCATGCAGCACTATCTGATGTTTTAACCTGTATTGTAGATGTATTGTTTTACTTAACTACAATGTGTATTTTTGTTTAAAACAAGATGATTGAGATTGTGTTGGCAAATGCATGAAATTAATCACACTAAAGTCGGAAAAAAAAACTATTACTGCTGTTGGGGTATTTGTTTTTTGGTATTATTTTAAGAGGTCTGTCACAAGACCACTGGAGTAGTTCTTGTATACACAGATTGCAATGAGTACCAACACTTTTCTATGTTGTATCAACTTTTATGCCTTGTTTTTTTATATCCATTTTACTTTCTTTTTCTCTCTTGTACATAGCATTTTATTAAACATGGAGGTTTGAATTAAAGGTACACCACACATAAGTAAGTTGGTTGAAAGTACAGTATCTGGTAATACAATCTTGAAGGTTTTGGGGTAATCAACAGTTTCTCGCATACGACATCTGGTGGGTGACTGAGTAATTGCATTAAGGTCCTGTGTCCTCAGCCTTGAATTCATATTGTCCGCCGTTTCTCCATGATGTTATACCAAAGGTGTGTAAAATCCGAGACGTTCTCTCTGAATCCAGGACAGTCGATTGCCAGGGTTTAGTATTCTCTCAGGAGTGGAGTCCATGTTGTGTTCAAATTGTTTCCCTCCAAGTGCTCTCTGACTTCAACTGATCCAGAGCCACTTTGACTGCCCCAGTTATTATATTTGTTTCCTTATCTTGTAAATTAAGGTGGTTTCCTGTTCTGACGGGAGGGACCTCTGAGCTCTTGTACAGCTAACAGTGCCTTTGGCAAGTATCTGTCGCAGCTTTCTGTAGTACCTGGGGTTACAAGGTACTGGTCTAATTTCTTGTGAGTTCTTACCCACTGTGAGTAGATGACGATACTAGAAGCTTGTACACACTCCCAAATCCCATGTACCACAGCAGGATGCACAAACACACTGAAATGGTACACAGTGTGAGTGTTATGCATGACTTGTAAGTCTGTCTGGACTGGGTAGTAAAGGGTTAAACTTAAAGATGTTTTTAAGGATTGTAGTGTGGTGTAGTGGTAAAAGGCAGGGCTCATAACCCAAAGGTTGCTAGTTCAATTCCAAAGTGTGCCACTACCGTTGTACCCTTGGGCAAGGTACTTAACCCAAATTGCCTCAGTAAATATCCTGGAGTATAAATGGATAACATGTAATAAATGAAAGCTATGTAAGTTGCTCTGAATAAGAGCGCCTGCTAAGCAAAAACGTTATACATAGGATTGTTTTACAATTTCAGGCTTACAATTTACTGCACTCTTACCCGCAATACCCACTGTTACCCGCAATAAGTTACACTCAATGCTGTGAGCCAACCCTTAAGTCATTTTTAGGGTAAAAAGGTAACACACTACACCCATTCATGTACCAACATTACCCTGTATATTAGAGGATAGCATATATCATATTAGTTCTAGATCTACTTCTACAAACCCACATTAAAAGAAGAACAAACCTTGAAGATTATGTACGGTTTTTTGTTTGCCTGTTCTGTGCTGAGGTGTATGGCTTAAGGGTAATGGGGAAGTCGGTAAGATCTCTTGCGGTTATGTTTCTTGTCCCTGTAATAACATTGCATTAACTGAAAGCTCCCTCTGGTGGCAGCTCTGCAGAATTACGCCAACTTGCTTTTCTTGCTGACGGTTTTCTGTGCTGCTGGAGCTCTCTGATTGGCCCCCTTGCGCGGCTTGGACTTGGCTTTCACCGGCCTGCCTTTGGGGGCGTTTAGGTGGGCAGGTTTGGGCTTGGTGGATTTGGGGGGCTTGGGGACTCGGGGAGCTTGCGTGGGAGGCGGCTTTTCCCCCGGGCAGCTCTTGAAGACGTGGACGTCCTTGACCCTACGACCTCGCAGCTCCGGCGGGTGGCCGCAGGTGGCCCTCACCTTCAGGTTCACCCTGTCGAGCCACCTGGGGAAACGAGTGGAGAGGTGGGTTAGAGTCGGGGGGGAAAAAGAGCAAGGGCTGGGTGCTGGATTGTTTCGGTGTGCATACAAGTATAACTGTAATGTGATTCAGTGTCATGCTTGGATTTGTCTAGCAGGGGTATGGTGATGGTCTATGTATGTGTGTAAGTGGGCTGGGTGTGTTTACATGTGTAAATAAGCAGGGTTTGGTTTGTGTGGGTGTGAGTGAGAGAGAGAGTACGCAGGGTGTAGATTGTGTCAGTGAGTGTGTAAGATTTTGTCTGTGAGTGATTATGTAAGACTGCATCTGAGTGAGTATATAAGGTTTGTGTGTGTGTGTGTGTGTGTGTGTGGGAGAAAGCAGGGTGTGGTGCGAATGTGTGTGAGAGTGTGTTATTGTGTAAGACAGCGCACGTCTCCCTCACCTGCGCAGCAGCAGCAGCGGACAGTCGCACAGCAGAGGGTTGTCGGACAGGTTGATGACCTCCAGCCCTGTGAGGGGGCTCAGGTCGGGCACCTCCTCCAGCTGGTTCCCCTCCAGGAGCAGACTGCGCAGCCCGGAGCCCAGGCCTGCCAGCGAGTCCTTCGACATCTGGAGAGGGAAGAGAGCAGCACGGATGGAGGGAATGGAAGTGGAATAACCTCCCAAATTGTTCTGAATCGCGGGGCGGCAGTTTGCACAGTGGGAAGGTGAAGGGCTTGTAACCCGAGTCCTTGCTGGGGCACTGTTGGGTACCCTTAATCCACAATTGCCTCAGTAAATATCCAAGTGTATAAATGGGTAACATGTAAAAACTGTAACACATGTAATTCACTCTGGATAAGAGCGTCTGCTAAATGACAATAATGTAATATTATTAGAGTATTGTCTGATATTGATAGAACATTATCTGATATTATTAAAAGACAGTGAAATGTCTGTATGAAGAACGTCAGAAGGGCTCTGCATCCTCTCACCTTCTCTAATCCCATCCCATCGAGATACAGGTGCTTCAGGCTCTTGCTGAACGGCAAGAAAGCCTCAGCGGCGACCCAGCGAATAGTGTTTCCGGAGAGGCGGAGCTCGGCCAAGTTGGGCACCTTGCTAAGCGCCTCAGTCGGGACCTCTTTCAGCTGGTTGGACCCCAGGTGGAGGGTGTCGAGATCGGGGGCGGGGTCGAAAGCCTTGGGGCTGATGGAGTGGATGGCGTTGCCCGTCAGGTACAGCCCCCTCAGCTTCTCCGCCCCCGTCAGGACGCCCTGCTCCAGCCTGGAGATGGAGTTGTTCTCCAGGTGCAGGGCCAGCAGGCTGGGCAGCAGCTTGAAGGCCCCCCTGGGGAACTGGGTGAACTTGTTCCTCTCCAGGTGCAGGTAGGTGAGCTGGGGGACCCCCTTGAAGGCGTCGGGGCTGAGGGAGGAGAGGTCGTTCTCGGACAGGTACAGGTAGACCAGGCTCTTCATGCCGCTGAAGGCGCTGCCCTCGATCTCGTGGATCTTGCAACGCTGTAGGTGGAGGGAGACCACCTCGGCGACGCCGGGGAAGCTGTTGCTGGGGATGTAGTGGAAGTGGTTGCCGCGGAGGTCCAGCAGGCGGGTTTTCGGGGAAAAGCCGCGGGGAATCTTGGTGTGGCCCCGGTTCTCACAGGAGGAGTGGTGGGTCTCGTCCTTAGAGGGGTGGGAGGAGTTGGTGAGGTGAGCAGAAAGGAGTGTGACAAGCAGGGATTAGCGTGAGGGAGCAGCGTATGTATAAATGTATAAAGGGAAGGAGAAAGGAGAGATCAGTAGGAAAAGATTAAGGAAAAAACAAAAGTCAGATAAGCATTGTCTTATGTCCTCATCCCTTCCTCTCTCTCCCTTTCAACCTCTCTTATGTCTTACAGCCTCTCGGTGTGAGTCGAACACTCCTCTGGTCCTGCAGGACAGTTATAACTTTTGGTTTTGCTCATTCAATTTGAATGGACACACTTATGTTCCATTGTGCTAGAAGTCGCTCTGGATAAGAGCGTCTGCTATATGAATGTAATCTAATGGTTTTAACTCCACATCTGCAGGTGTTTTTGGGTGGAAACTCAAATCAGGTCTTGACCTGCTGCAGATATAAGCAGCATCTCTTACACCTGCAGAATTGTGAACCTTGAGATTTGGGTTGCAAGGTTAACACATCCTCTGCGTGCCTGTACTGTACAGAAATGGCACCTGTGAAACCAAATGGTGTCAGTAATAACTAAGAGGCATGAAGGCTCACCTCACAGTCGCAGTTGGCAGGGCACTTGACCCTGGGTTTAGCGGTGGGCGGCGGGGTGACCCGGCTCTGCTCCTCCAGCTCCGCCTTCAGCATGGCCTCCTGGCTCTGGCAGCGCAGCTCCGGCGGGTGGATGGACTCCAGGCTCTCGCCGGAGAAGTGGGCGGGGCCGGCGCAGGCCCCGATCAGCCGCACGCGCTCCCTGATGGCCCACTCCCTCAGCGGCCGCAGGTAGCAGTTGCAGTAGACGGGGTTCCCCGAGAGGTTGAGGCGGGTCAGCTTCTGGGGGCCGGAGAGGGGCTGCAGGACCCGCAGCTGGTTGTGGCTGAGGTCCAGGTAGGTGAGGCTCGGCACCAGGGCCAGGGCCACGTGGGAGAAGTCCTGCAGGGACATGTGGTCCAGGAAGAGGTGGGTGAGTTTGGGCATGGCCACCGTCTCCTCCCCCAGGTAGGTCATGGGGTTGTAGCTCATGTCAAGGCGGGTAAGCTCGGGGAGTCTGCAGGGAGAGATTTGAAGAAAAAGGTGTTACAGAATAATTAGGAAGTCATAAAAAAGGGTAGACAGTTGTAATTGTAGAACAAACAGACATTTTCCCTGAACTGAAGTTATGCATATAGTTTTACATTATTGTCATTTAGCAGACACTCTTACCTACAGCAATTTATACAGCTGGATATTTACTGAAGCAGTTCCGGGTTAAGTACCTTGCCCAAGGGTACAGCAGCAGTCCCCGGTAGGAAATTTAACCAGCAACCTTCCAGTTATGAACCCTGCTCCTTAACACTGTGCTACACTGCCAGTGTATAAATTATACATACCGGGTCATGGTTTGAGTGGGGAAGAACTGCAGCTCGTTATGGTCCAGGCTGAGGCGTGTGAGGGTGAAGAGCCCAGCGAAGGCCTCGGTCGCCAGGTTGTTGAGGGAGTTGTGGGTCAGACGCAGCCACTTGATGTTCTGCAGGCCCTGGAAGGCCATGTTGGGCATGTAGATGAGCCGATTGTGGGTCAGAGACAGCAGGTTCAGGAAGCCCAGCTGGGAGAAGGCTCCGGGCTGGATCTCCTCCAGCCTGTTGTGATCGATCAGGAGCTGCTTCAGGGAGCTGAGCCCATCAAAGGACTCCTGTCAGCATAGAGAGAGGCAGAGGGACATGTGGTGTAGGATGGTTAGAGGTGTTTATGAAATAGACATGCACTACATTACCGTAACGGGCCCATTAGGACCAAAACGTATACTGGTGGTGATTTATCCCACTTGTAATTAACTTGCTGATTGGTTGGTGAGACTATGGGTAATTGTAGGGCAAGCATTTTGATTTCCTGGTGAGAGTTGGCATCTCACTCTCAGATAGCTGACTGTGGCAATCACTCATGCCAACAGAGCAACATCACCCTCATACACTCACCAGAGTAACCAGGTTTGGCTTTTTCACACCAATTGGCTCAACGATCACCGATTTTGCACTGACTTGCAGTATCGAAAAGGCAGTATTTTCCCAGAAATCATGTCAACTTAACCAAAAGGCCATTCTTCAGTAGAAGGAGTCATATTTGTTTTATGTACTGGCTAGTTTCTTATTAGAAGCCAGGTAGCAGCTTGGCTTTTTTTGGTCCAGTATAATGCACATTTCAGTATATTGACTTTACTAGCCGTTTTTATTGTTTTAATTTGGGCAATGCTGTTGTTTTCCCCTTTTTTATTAATCTGAGTGGTTCTGTGGGTGACAGAATTGGGTTCAAACAGTGCACTACAGAACTGATTTCATGCACTCTCTTCACTTTTATATCATCTGCCCAACCACCATTCAGACTCCTTGAATCACACTCCGTCCATATCAGCTCCCTCCTGCCCTACTACTTACATTACATTACATTATTGTACATTACTGTTTTCTGTATCATCACTGTTTTCTCCCTTCTGCAAACTTCTGCAGACGCTGAAATATTAACCAAACAGACCGA